GGAAGAACTTTAAAAAAAACATGCAAAATATTGAATCTGCGCATGTACAATATGTTGCCCAGGAGAGTCCAAACATATGTAAACATTTGACTGAATACATTTCCATCATCTCGTATAGACAAAACAAATGAAGATTGATAGATAGAAAATGGGATTGTTCTCCCTCCGCCTTTGTTATTTCATTTAGTCTTTTAATGGCTTGATTAGGAAAAAAAATTAAACCCAAACCATCACTGACATGAAAATTGGAATATATATGTGTGTGTGTATGTATATGTATACACACACACACACACACACACACACACACACACACACACACACACAAGGATTCTAGACCACTGACTGGTTTTAACTTAACAACAGAGTCTCCTTAATGTAATGCTTTGAATAAAGCACTACATTTTTTTGAAACTCAAAACCCAATTGCAAAATAATCAAGACCAAATTACAGTTACTTGTTGATGTCCCCAGGGAAGGTTTCTGGCTAAGACTTCATGTGGCCTCAACAGCTTTCAATAATCCTTCCTAATTAAGGTGGTTTGATGGGCATCGGGGAATCAGGTGCTCCACAGTAGATGCAAACCTTTGGGCAGGATAGAAGTTGAACAGTGCTCTATGGCAACCACGGGTTTAATCACTGAACAAAACATGGCATATTTTTTGTTATGGAGCAAAGAATCAAAGGGCGAGGATATACTGTATTTTTGCGGTAGTGGCGAATATCTGTAGCTCGGGTGGAGGATGAGGGTGGAGGTTTGTTCTCCAAGCTTGTGGGTTGGTTTCCGAATGTTTTGGTACCAGGCTAGATAACACCTTCAATGGAATTTAGATGATGTCTGTCTCAGTGTTCTTCTGCTTATAAAGGCTTGTGTGGTCAGTAGGTAAGTGTGAAAAGTGTTCTTATACGAGAATACTGTTCATCCCCAAGCAATTTCATCATAATGCTCATTTTTATTTGTTTGTTCGTTTATTTATTTATATCCCGCCTTTATTATTTTTATAAACAACTCAAGGCAGTAAACTTATTCGATACTTCTACTTCTGTCTATTTACTGCACAACAGCAATGTTGTGAGATGAGTAGGGCTGAGAAATAGTGACTGGCCCAAAGCCAGGAAGCCAGTTTTTATGCCTAAGGCCGGAGTAGAACTCATAGTTTCCTGGTTTCTAGGGAAGCATTGTAACTACCAGATCAAACAAGCTTATTGTTCTGTCTAGTATCTGGCGCTAATAAGGTACTAAACTGAGCTCATAGTATATACTTGTTCAGTTCTATTATACTCATAGATTTTGGATTTATTGCCAAATATCCAAAAGAAACAGTTTTGCTTATTTTTAAGAAATGTTGAGATTCGTTGGGGATGTGGGGAGGGGGGGCTGCTTTGCTTCTGGTCCTGGTATTTGAGGACAGCATGGTCCATCCCAGGGGCGGGTTCCAAATCCCATTGCTACCGGTTTGTTTGTGTGCACACTCGTGCGTGCGCATGGAGCTTCTGCGCATGCACAGAAGCTTCCGGGCGGGTGGGTGGAGCCTCCCGCCACCGCCACTGGTGGCAAACCGGTAGCAACCCACCATTGGTCCATTCCCACCTGGTGGCTTTGATGGATATTTGCAATTTTCTGTTATAGAACTCTCTAAATAGTAAAGACTTTGTAAGGAAAAAGAAAGGAATAGGAGTTGATTGATGTGGTGAAATACCACATAAGTAACAGTATTGTTATAAGTTATAACAGATAGTTATAACCAACTATCACTGGGATGTAGGTAACATTGCCTTCTTATAGTCTAGCTGCCTTCTCCAATCAGATGCCTTGCAGCCATTACACTTCTGAATTTTGTTTAAATTTGCCATCACTGAAAGGCACCGGATGGAAAACAACAAATTGTTAAGGTCAACGTCTAAACATCTACACAAAAAGGGAGTTCCTATTGCATTGGATGAAACTGATCAACAAATGGTTTCTATTAATTTAGCCTATATATCAAAACCTAACAGTTGCCCCAGAGACTTCTGATAATGTCTGGAGATGACTCAAGTATCGATAGAGGATGTATCCTTTAACCAGACATTTAAAGCAGTGTCCTTTTAAAATAATTGCAGAACAGTATACATTTTTGCACTGGGATTTGTCCTGCTGTAAGAGATATTTTTTTTAATGAAGTCCCTCTAGCATTGATGGCCCTAGAGTAAAATACATGAACTTTAATACTGGAATTGTTTACTGTTTGGGTTTATATATCTTATTCATATTGTATCCACCTGCCAGGGAAGCCTTATGCACATGTTTTGGTCATACAAGTCATTGATTTTGGCTGTTATCGACCATGACACTTTATGTTATTGTTTTTCTAGTCGTCTGTTTGCAATAGGATCCTTTTTCAGCAGGGAAAGGTCTGTCTGTGCATGATGGGTTTTATTTTGTTGCCTCCCGTTAGTGCAAATGCCCGACTGGACTATGGAGAAAGGACTGAACCCAAATCATCATGCATTAAATAATTGGAATCATCATGCTTAGAAACCAGATTTCATGTGAAATTCCATGGAGAGCCTGAAGCTTCCTTTTTTAATACACAATCTGTATAATTGAGCAGTTGCTATTCATTTGTTAGAAATTGCAGTTGTGGGTGCAGCATCAATAAGAACCAAAGATTTATTGCACAGGACTTCTCTTCCAATTTGCCTAATTATCTAACACGAACTACTGCTATCTTAATGCCTGGAACAGGAAACACCCTGCTTTCCCACCATGCAGTTCGGGAGAGATAACATATGATCATGCCATAGGTCTGACTTTAATTGGCAAACTGTTCATAAATTCCCAATGACTAGAAATATATTTAATTTGAAATGTAATCATTTGTTTCAAACAATGCATGCTCACTGAGCTCTGAATAATAAGCAACAAGAGAGCTGTCAGGTTTTTCAGAGCTGAAACAAAGAATAGTTTTCTAGCTTGTAGCTAATATTTTAATGCTTAGAATTTTATAATTTTAAGTTTACATTTGCCACCTTGGGAACTTCTTTGATTTGTTTTGTCTCACTTGGCATAATTTGCTTTCCAGCAGACAGTGATTTTACATCATAGTGTCTTGACCCATATAATAGCATGAGCAAATTCAAGCTTTGTTGAATTTTTTTTTTCCCTTATGCTTTTGGGCAATGTCTATCTCTGAGAATATTCCTTTGTAAACTCAACGTTGGAGTTATAACCAGATGACATATTTCGATTCAGCTACATTTGGCTTCTAAAATTCTGCCAGAGGTATTGAATTAGTCACATGCCTGAGCCTATACCTGAAAGCTGGACTTCATAATATAAAGAGCTTTTTGAAGTAAAAGAGAACTGAAGTATTTTTCACTTCAGGATATTTGACATTGTTTAATTTTTGCCTACACACACACACAAACACAGGTTCCTTTTTCACTCTAGGATTAGTGTTGGAAATTTTATCCCAATATAACTCTTTCGGTGACAATGCAGGTAGCAGCAGAAACCCTACACTGACCCCATCCAGCCATCCATACCCCTGGAGACAATCTGGCTTGTTTTTTCTTGGTTCAAAGCCATACCAAAATGTGTGGCATGGAAACTTAGCTTGTGTTTGTTTGCTTCCTGACAGGGTAATCCTGTTTTTAGAGGATTGATGCCCTCTTAAAGAGGAATAGGCTCCCTTATCTCTTCAGTACTGAGGATAATCACATTCTAGGACCTTCCAGGAAGCAAATATGAGGGTAGCGGCTTCATTTTATGCAATGGGGAAATTGTTACAGTCATAACTGGCCATCTGCAATTGCCACACAAGTCTGTCGTTTTGCCTATAGCTGAGATGTGTAAGATGTTGAGCATGTGTATTTTACATATATTTTCTTCCTTCCCTATATGGAGTTGAAATGGATACGCATTATTTGCTTCCATTCCACACCACTCTGTTCTGATAACAACACTACAGGTAATTCTCGATTTATGACCACAATTGAGTACAAAATTTCTGTTGCTAAGTGAGACATTTGTTAACTGAATTTTGCCCAATATTATGACCTTTCTTGCCACAGTTGTTAAGTGAATCAGTGCAGTTAAGTTAGTGACGGGGTTGTTAAGTGAATCTGGCTTCCCCATTGACTTTGCTTCTCAGAAGATCGCAAAAGGTGATTGCATGACCTTGGGACAGTGCAACCGTCATAAATATGAGTCAGTTGTGAATTTTGATTATGTGACCAAGAGGAATTGAGGATGCTGCAATGATTGTAAGCGTGAAAAATTGTCATAAGTCAGTTTTTTCAGTGCCATTGTAATTTTGAACGGTCACTAAATGAGCTGTTGTAAGTCGAGGACTACCCGTGTAAAGGATTGACAGGTAGCCTTGTTTGTTTTAGTTCATGGTTTACCACCTAGATGTCCCAGTCAGAGATGATCTTCAGCCTGAAGACAGCAAAATATAGTCAGGACTGGGGGCGGAAGAACAGAAATAAGAGCTGTGGTGGCGCAGTGGTTAGAGTGCAGTATTGCAGGCTAACTCACTGCTCACTCGAGGAGTTTGATTCTCACCAGCTCAAAGTTGACTCAGCCTTCCATCCTTCTGAGGTGGGTAAAATGAGGACCCAGGTGTTGGGGGGCAATAGGCTGACTTTGTAAATCACTTAGAGAGGGATGTAAAGTACTGTGAAATGGTATCAATGGTGGGTTGCCCCTGGTTCAGACCAGTTCACAAGAACTGGTAGTAAAACTGGCGGGAGGCTCCGCCCACTGACCTGGACATCATCATAGGTGATCTGTGCATGCGCAGAAGAGTGCGCAGGCACGATGCAAACAGATAGTAAAGGTAAGTAGAACCCACCCCTGAATGGTATATACCGAAGGCCTATTGCTGTTGCCAATTAAAGAACGATATTAACTCTTTACTGGTCTGCTGTCTGGTTTTCAGATCTTGGTTTTCAATGTAGAATGACTGATTTCCCAATGATGTTCTCTCTCTCTCTCTCTCTCTCTCTCTTTAAGAGTAAAAAGGATCGCATGAAGGCTTGGATAAGGAAACGCCTCCCTTCTTGGTGCAAAGAAAGAGATTCCTGGTCTATCTACATCTTTGCTCCTCAATCTAAGTAAGGCAACCCATATTTGATTACTGGAAATATGTTGGAACATGCTGGGCTTAATGTTTGCTGAGGCTAGAAATCACAATATTCTGCAGAACTCTCAGAGGCCAAAATTGGCACCAGTATTCACAGGTGCTGTCTGCATCTAATATTTCTGGGAGGGCAATTAATATATGTTGTAATCTGCAAATCATAAAAGAGAAGGATTTAGGGGGAAAACTATAACCCAGTGGTAAGGTATGTGATTGGCATGTCAAAAGTCCTGGAATGTATGATATTTCCATTTTAAGGAAGTATCTAATATGAAATAATGAAGGAATGATCCTGAAGATCTGCTGCCAATTTAGAGAAAGCACAAAGTTTCCAGAAAATTGTGTCATACTATAAAATAGTATATCACAGTAGTAGCAACAATAACTATTAAATTATTTCTAGCTTTGCTCAGCTGCTTATCTGTTTTCACCTCACTTACCATCCATGGCCCCTAAAATCCTTGCTTAGTATGCCAACTAAAGCATACTTCTTATAAAGCCTTCCCACCAGCAATATGAATATATTATATGAAAGTGATTTAGTATTGCTACACAAAGTCAAGCTTTTCTATTACACTTTGGAAGGAAACAGAAACTTTCTGGATCCTGAGGGATTTGTCTACTGCTAAAACTTTCCAATTTCAAATAGTAGATATCATTCTTCTAGAACCAGTTACAGTATTTGATCCAGATAATTGGGGAAAGGAATGGAGCACAGAATCAATCCCAAACATCTCTAGCTAGTGCTAGAAATTCCTATCTGAAACCACGCAGAGCAGCAGGCAGTCAACACAAAGTACGCATAACCAAACTTACTGACTCAACTCAAATTTCAATGGAAAAACTCTGAACATCCTAGGACCAAGCTAAATCCAAAACCACTACGGAATTCCTAGAACCTTGGCATTCTGACAAATAAGCCATAATGCTCAGCAAAAACCTAAAAAAGAAACAAAAAAGATAATCTCCTTCAGCTGCCAATACCCAGATAAGCAGGAATTAACAACAGACAAACAAGCAGAGAACCCCAATCAAGGAACTACCGAGAAGAAAACCATACTCCCATCCAACTATTGTACTGTATTACAAGCTGCTGTATATAAACAGGGTGCAAGCCCCACTCTTACTGGCACTGATGATGTTACATAGTCAGAAATGTCTGCAAGCAAACAACCAAACTCAGAGAACACCAAAGATTCCACAGTTCAATCCTGAGCTACAAATGTTCTTTTCCGTTATAGCCAAATTTAATATAAGACAGTTTTTAAACTTTTCCTGGGGAACAAATACTTTGCTGAAAATTTCTGCTAGAATCGCACTTTACATTAAATGCACACACTTTATCTCACTCTCTGTCTCTCTCACACACATAAATAGCCATAAAAATTAACACCAAATGGATCCCCAAAATATCTTCATCATAAGCTAATGTCAGAGTAAATTGGGCATAATATTTTGAACAGAGTAGCTTCAGCAATTTTGTGCCCCTGGATCACTGTAAAGTGTTTTTATGTCCTTTGGACATAATATGAGTATGGGAGGGGGACCTTTTCCTGCATCACATGAGGCTTCCATAAATATGCCTCAAAGTAATTACAAATTTAGCAAATGTTTGAAATGCTAATTTGCCTTATTACTTCATAAAATGTCATACTTAAAAGAAATTTAAAGTCCAGCTAAATGAATAATCCATCATTCCCCTCTCCAAGGTTAAAACAGGTGGACGCAAATTAGAATAAACTACTATATACTGAGAGAGTAGGGATATTTTTTAGTTGTAATTTCCTTCCTTCAAGTTGCTGTTTGCTTTGACTGAGAAATTGTTCCTATGACCTTTACCCCTTTTCTGGTTCTTTTAGACCAACTTTTGCCAAGCTGGTGTCTTCCAGATGTACTGGGAGTACAGCTCCCAGAATTCCAAGTTAGTATGAGTGTCAGCACATCTGGAAGACACCAGCTTGTGCAGGGCTGGTTTAACTTTAGAGGCTACCAGGAAAAAAAGGAACTTACATCAAAGCTTTAATTTGGCCTTTTCCAACCTACTTCCTTCCCAATATGTTGGGACTCTATTCTCAGAATTCTCATCAAATCTTGCTAACAGTTTCAAGAGCGGTTTATTCTCAGAACAAGTAAGAATGCTTTTCCTCTAAGGTTCAACTGCCTTCCCTATATCTTTTTATAAGTGTGATTAATTTAATCTTCCGTAATTCTGAAAGTTAAAGGAAAGACTGGGCAAGATCTTTTTCAGAGAGCCCTCATACGCAGTTTTGAGTTCTCCATCTTCCAGTTCCCTCTTGTTTCCCCTCCTAACCAGTCTTTTCTTCTCCCAGCATATTCTTTACAGGAAGTCTTTGATTTACAACAATTGAGCCCAACATTGCCATTGCTAAGCAAAACAGTTGTTAAGTGAGTTATACCCCATTTTACCATCATTTTTGCCACAGTTGTTAAGCGAATCATGTGATTGTTAAATGAATCTGTCTTCCCCCATTGACTTTGCTTGTTGGAGGGCAATTGGGAAGATTACAGACGGCGATCACATTGACATTGCAGCCATCATAAATACATGCCAGTTGCCAAGAATCCAAATTTTAATCACGTGACTTTTGGGCACTGCTATAGTTGTAAGTGTGAAAACCAGTCATAAGTCACTTTTTTCAGTGCCATTGTAACTTCAAACGGCCCCTAAATGAATGGTTGTAAGTCAAGGGCTACCTATATTGCTTCTTCCCCCTTTCCCACTTTTGACCAAAGTATTTTCTCTTCCTTCCTTATTTCCTTCCTTGATTATCTACAAAAAACAAAACTATGTTACAGCCAACACCTTTTCATCTATATATTTTTTGTAAACAAGTTTTATTAAAATTTTTCTTTCATCATACATATTTTATGAACAGAGTGTTGACCGGGTCACATCTTATACATATAATCTATTCCTATCTTCCCATTTTTTCCCTATTCATCTCTTTTGTATAATTCTTTATCACAATTTAATCATTTTTCACCATATCTTGTTATTTCAGCTTCTGCCGTATTGTTCTTTTTTTTTTCAAAGTCCATTTTGCATGTTCCAATTTCAGCCATAATATTCTTTTTTCATACTTCTTTATCTTATCTTAATTTCTTAAAACATAATACATAAACAGTATTGCTATCCGCCCTTAATTCCTAATCTCTTACAATAACATCAATTAATTATATTACTCCATTACAAAATCCCCATCCCACTTTTTAACATTTCAACTTTGTCTCTTAATTTAAGTTATCTTCAAAGTTAAATCAAATTGCCATTTCACATTTCATATGCTATTCTGTTTTACTATAAGCAATATACATCATCATATTCAAATCTTTCATTAAAACCCTTTAACTTAGTTGACCAACCACAATTAATAATATTAATACAGTTCCCTTAAATCTACTAATATATACCTTATTTCCCTTCCTCCTTTCCACTAATCTTCCCTTCTTTGCCCATTTTCTCTTGGTTTCTCCAAAATTCCACTTCTTGATAATTTTCTCCTTTTATCCCATTCTCTTAACATCTTCTTTCTTTTTTTAAAATATATATTTATTACATCTTTTCTTCTGAGTCCTTTTTCTCACTTTTAGATATATTATTCAAGTAATTCTCCCCAAGATTTCTCCTAATCTCTTTCCACTATTTCCCTCTTTACCCTTTGATTGACTCTTTTTTGATGGATGTTCTCCCCATCCATTCTTTTTTTGCCACTGTAAATCCCAGTGAAATCATCTAATTGCTTTTTGCATTCAATTCCTTTTTCTTGCTCCTCATTTATGCTCTCTTTTATCACCTTCTCCCCTATTTCCTGTTCTGTGTATTCCAGCAAAATTTCTGACTTTTTATTACCCTTTAGTGATTCATGCATATTTTTAAACATCTCAATTAGTTCCTCACACATCCAAGACTCCATATTGCCAATTTAAGAAATTGTTGAAACTTTTAAATTATGTCACATTTAATTAAAATTTAAAATCCGTATACTCTCTTTTTGTTTTCAAATAATATCCAATTCAAGTATTTATCCAGTCCACTCCATGTTAAAGATTTGTTATCTTCCACAGCCGTTGAGAATCGAAACCAAGCAATATAGAAAGACAAATACTCCTTAAAAGTTCTCAGTTTCCAAATTATCTTTTAGTAGTCAAGGTCACAGCTGTTACTTTCTCTTCTATCTTTCAACAAATATTGCAGTACTCTCTTTCTGGCAGCAGATTTTCTCTCAAATCCACAATATTCTCAAACCAACTAAATGTCAAAACTGTCAAAAATATTTTAAATCCACATAAAAAATACTTTTCCTCAGGTTCTTTCCTTTTATTATTTTTAATTTCTCCCAATCCAATTGTAGATGCAAAAACTTTCTTGGGCTTTAGTATTTTAGCCTCCTCTTTGTTCTTCTCCCTCCATAGAATTTCCCAAATGCCAATTAGCCGCCTTTTAATGTTCCAATTCAAAATTTTCTTTTACCTGTGAGTTGATCAATCACTCACCCGGTACCAGCACTCCATTCAAACACAGTTCCTGCACAAAGACTTAGTCTGGTTGCCCCAGTTTCAGAGCGGTCATTTTACAAAGGCCACCACCCCTGCCGGCAGTCTGAAGAGCTGCCTCCAATCTTTTGAGGAACTTGCCTGTTTCTCTTGTTCGTCTGAGATGTCTCTCCTTCTTCACCTTCTTGGACGGTTCCGGTCCAAAGACCCCCCGACAACGGTTTGCCTGGCTGGATTTTTGTGGAGCTCGTCAGAGCCCGCTATTTTTCCAGCTGGTCTTACTGCGACGCTTCCAGTTTCTCCACCTTTTCATAATTTTTTGAAGGTCAGGACAGTGATGAACTTGGGGAACGCTTGAGACTGAGGAACTCAAAATCTTTGCCACTGGTTGAATCTAATGACACTCTTCCTACCCATATCTTTAATTGCCAAATGGCAAGCATGAACCATTGGCTTGTGAAGAACCAGAGCACGCAACATCTTGTAATATCTCTTTTATAAAAAGAACTATGTTGCCATCAGGAGTGGGTAAATGGTCCCAACAAATCCAAGGCAGAACTGCAGAAGAAACTAATTATCCACCTCCAGTGGAGTCCAACTACAAGGAAGCTAGGCCAGAAGGGTGAATCATGCAGGGAATACTGGGCAGTCTGCTCTCCATATGCCTATTTTAGCTCACAAAAGTCATTCATTCATTCATTCCTCGTGACATGTGATCAGTATCTCACAATTTGGGAAAGACGGTACTGTATGTCAAGACAGATTTTGGTGATGGTTTTCTTTAGATGATTTGCATGCAGGAGGTAGAAGACGAGGACAAGGACAGATGAGGGTTGTCCCTGTCAAGAAAGGCCTGTTTCCAAAAATTAATTGCAGTTGCAGCTTTTTTACAATAGGAAAGAAAAGGTAGTCCAATATCCGTAGAAAAGGAAGAGGATTGTTTCTCTGCTTTGCACAGATTTCCAGTGACTTCTCTTCCTCTTCCCTTTAGATTCCGTGTCATATGCAATAAAATCATTTCCCACAAGATGTTTGATCACATCGTCTTGGTTATCATTTTCCTGAACTGTATCACCATTGCAATGGAGCGTCCCAAAATTGAGCCCCACAGTGCTGTGAGTAAACTGTATCACTTCCCAATTAACATAGCCGCTTTGTTGTGCTGAGTTTATGTGGGGCTTTTATCAATATTTGTTCTTTCTATTGGTTTCTTTTATCAACAGAAGGTGGAACTCAAGAGGGCATGAGAAGGAATAAATGGAGTGAAATTAAGTTACCCTGATGTGTACTAAGAGATAGTCCAGACAAAAGATTAGAGCAGATGTGTGTGGCAGCTGTCTCAGCATACCTTTTCTGTTTGATTACTGTCAAGGCTTGATCATCCTGCCTCCCCAATCCCACTGAACTGAATATTTCTTATAGATCTTAGAAACATGCAATGTCTAGGCCTGTGCTTTTAAAATGATATAATAAGAAGGATTAGTGAAAAGCCACTTAAAGGTGTAGTTTGGTTAAGGTAGTGCTTCTCCAACTTTTTTTTTTTCCATTACCAAAACAAGCTTATCAGAAGATCCTTCTTACTCAGAAAGTGCTTTCGCAAGTCTTCAACTTACGACAATTGAGCTTACAATTTCCATTGCTAAGCAAGGCAGTTGTTAAGTGACTTTTGCCCCATTTTACGACCTTTCTTGCCGCTGTTGTTGAGTGAACTGCTGTAATTACCAGTGACTTAGTAACACAGTTGGTGAAATGAATCTGGCTTCCTCGTTGACTTTGCCTGTCAGAAGGTTACAAAAGGTGATTACATGACCCAGGACATTGCAACCATCATAAGTACATGCCGGTTGCAATGATCACTGACCACAGGAATGCTGCAATGGTTGTGAGTGTGAAACATGGTCATAAGTCACTTTTTTTCAGTGCTGCTGTAACAGCTGCTGTACAACAAATGGTTGTAAGGCAAGGACTATCTGTATTTAAATGTTCCTGTTGTGTTTGGCTAATGGGTTTTATCCAAAGAAAAGCCACTTTTATCCAGTTTGGGGTAATTTACTCAGGTTTAGAAAGCATTGGGCTAAGGCATCAGGTTAGAAACCAGGAGACTGTGAATTCTGGTCCTACCTTAGGCACAAAGGCAGCTGGCTTCTGCCAGCCATTTTCTCCAAGCCCTAGGAAGCAGGAAATGGTAAACCACTTCTGAAAAAACCTTGCCAAGAAAACTGCAGGGTCTTGTCCAGACAGTCAGTCATCAGGAGTCAAAAAAAATACCATTTATAGAGAAAATCATACTCTACATTGCTTTTTCAAACCAAAATGCAACATGCAATTGTTTTCTTGGAAACTGCATAGCAAGAGAAATAGTACTTAAACTTATATACTGCTTTACAGTGCTTTACAGCCCTCTCTAAGCGGTTTACAGAGTCAGCATATTGCCCCCTAACAATCTGGGTCCTCGTTTTATCCACCTCGGAAGGATGGAAGGCTGAGTCAATCTTGAACCTGGTGAGATTTGAACTGCCAAATTGCAGGCAGCTGGCAGGCAGCAGAAGTAGCCTGCAGTTCTGCACTCTAACCACTGTGCCACCGCAGCTCATAGGATGCATAGATTCCCATAGAACTGATAAAGAAATGAATATAAATACCTTTCTTCAGGGGAATAGAGAAGGTTAGAGATTTAAACCTGATTCGAATCTGGCTCTTTCTCCCCCCCCCCCCGCAAATACAGAGCTTTGAGCAAGTATTATGGGGTCACGAAAGCAAGCACGCAGGCAGTGCTAGTACTGTATCCAAGCAACATCAGCATCTTGACTTGCTAAGTAGGCTCTCCAGCTAAATCCAAGCGATAGTGTTCAATTCCGACTGAAAACTGGCTTCAGTCCCCATCCTGGTGGAATTTGTTGATCTGCCACCGAGCCCTAGCAACTTAGTTGTGCATCTGTCCATTATGGATGCACAGTTAGCCTCCAAGGGAGACTTAAGTGGAAATTCTATTGCGAGTGCTGCTTTTAGTCCCTGCTGTTAGGCTAAGGGTGTTGGCTACAAATGAAGCTCAGGACTCATCTGTTTGTAATTGTCTGGTTTGGGGGTAGGGGTGTATGGGGAGGGTGACTTTTAAATATGTGTTATTAATTCCAGCAAGCAATGTTCCTTTCCCAGCAGTGGAAGGAAGGAAAAAGGAAAGATTTTCACCGTTCTTAATTTTGCCCTGGCCAAACTGGCTATATTCTACTTTGCTGTATCCAAAAACAACATCTATAGGTTAAAGACATCAAGATTTCCTCTTTTTTTGGCAGACAGAAGGGAGAAGCATCCTTTTTCTCGGAGCAGAAATAACTTACTTGATCTAATAATGCTGTCCGTCATAATTTTCTTCAATAAATATTCAAAACCTTTTCTTCCTCTCTTTTGTAGTCTAGTGCTTTGGTTCTTTGTCTGCGTTTGCATTCCAATGTGGCAAGAGAGGAGAAAGAGAGAATTTTGCCATTCTTTTTCTTCACTTGTCTCTATCTCAATACTGATACGAACAAAGATCTTTGTTTTAGTTCTCTGTCAGGTTTGTTTTGCTAGATTTACATAATTTCTTTTCCAAGCCAGATCTTCCCAAACCATCAAGGGTCAACCAGATAACCCTCATTAATCTGCTATTCTGTGATTTCATATTAATTTATTATCACTTGGAAATGCATTGTTTACTTCAACATATGTCCAAAGTTTGGTGAGGCTTACTTTCCTGTAAGTTTGTTTAGGGTTACCGATTTAGTAATATGCAAAACTCACATAAAGAGAAAATGTATTCATTTCAGACAGCATAAAACATTTGGCTGCTTATGAATAAAGAAAAACTGATGTTAAATGCATATTTGGCAAGTTGAATAAGCAATTATTGTGGCACTCAGGGGTCCTCTGAAATCTGCAAGTGAAACATTTCAGTAAAGCATTTCGGTGTCAGCTCCTGAAATGCTTTCTAAGTTGAGAACCAGCCACTAAAATTTCTGCTTTTTGAGCTTTGGTTGTATAGCTAGTAAAAAGAACGTGCAAGTTTCACTGAGATTGGTACTTTTCTGCAAAGATTCAAACCATGAAGAAATAGATTTTAGAGATATTATTTATTATTAACATTAACATTTACCATGAAGGTACAACCCTGAGCAATGTTTACTTAATCAGATTTAGTGGTCTTAAAATTTCTAAAACTAGTGCTATTAGGATAATGAAGCCATTTTATTTAAATTTATGTAGGGTCATATTTTAAATAAATATTTAAAATTATGTTAAATTGTTCAGGGCTATGGTTAAGAAAGTTTTATAATCTTGGATATTTTAAAATAATACTGTGATTTTGTTATGGTCTATAGTTTAAATAAATAAATAAATAAATTGACTTGACTGAGCAAAACCTCACATCTTGTCACATCTTCATGCTCATTCTACTTTGAGGAAAAGTAGCCCTCGATACCAATACATCAAGCTGTTTTTTTCCAACTGGGAGCAGTGAATTAAAATGGAATTACTTGCAGTCAATAACTAGAAGCAGATGCAGGCTTTTCATTTCAGTGAAATGGGAACAATAACAAGAGAGACATTATTATGAAAATAAAATGTTATGCTCGCTTGCTTAAGAGCAAACCTTCTTGCAATGAATGGGACTTGTTTTTGAATACAGATGTATGCATTCAGAATTTTGAATCTTTTGCTGTTGCCTTGTACTGTTGTCTGTTCTGCTATAGACTATTTCTTGCAGAAAGAATGGTGTTTCATTGATTCCTAAAAACATGCCTTCCTACCTTGGCAACTGAATTTGCCAGGTCTAATAGAATAACAAAGTTGGAAGGGACCTTGGAAGTCTTTTAATCCAATCCCCTGATTCCAGACAAATGGCTGGATCGTGTGGCTGGAGAATTCTGGGAGTTGAAAACCACATATTGTCAACCTTGGAGCCATCTTTGAGCATCTTCAGGGTTGCCACAGCGAGGCTGACTGGAGCTGTGGGAAAGGGAGGGAGGAATAGAGATAACTGAGGGGAATATGTAGCCAAAATAACATTCTTTCTCCTGGGAACCAAGGACACTCTCACCAGCACCTGGAGGTGTCTGGATGGGAGGCATCCGGGATGGGGAGAGAGACCTGATTGGGGCATGTGATGATTGTGTTTGATGGGGGGAAGAGCTTTGGATTTTGAACTGGGTGGGGAAAACCCAGGGGACTTCAGATTCGGGTTTTCACTAGCTGTGCCAATATGACACGCCTAATAAATCTATACTTTGAGGAACCCTGCCTTGGAGTTTTGATTTCCTATGGGCTGTTATTTGGAACCCTGACACATATCTTAAGTTACCAAGTTCAGAAATACTGATCTAAAGGATAATTTCTTTAAGCATCACTGTTAGGAAGCTGTTAGTATGAAGACTCCAGATTCCTTATCTCTGGGCTGAACTGTGAATTGTCAGGATGTTTTCGGCTCTTCATTTAGGTAAAATGGGAAGAATAACAAGAGAGACTTTATTATGAAAATTAATTTGATAGATGTATTGCATGTTTATAGTGATGTGTAACATAAAAGTTATATTAACTGGAAGCTTACCACCTGTACAATCAAGCTGTTTCTGGTGCCATAAATAGCTTTTGGCACCGTGTTCTTTCTGAAACACTAAAATCTTGAATGGAGCTAATCACCCATACTGAGGCAACTAAGAGGGAAATATAAAACTTAGTTCAAGGTAACAGGCAGTTATAGAGGAAGGATGAGGTTTTGTTCACTTAAGTTAGGTTACTGGAATAAATAAGGATTTGCAGGCCTGTTCAGAACTGGCTAACTGGATTTATAATTGTTTTGAAACTCACATTGCATCTGTTTATATTTTTGCTTCAGTTGTATAATTCCCTTGCAGTTTGTAAATTAATGTAGCACTATTGTTCTTTTATTTACTGATGAAAGGAGCAACATTGGCAAGAATTCTCACTACAGTTCTATTTCTGAACCACCCACTGCTTTTAAATAAAGGTAGAAAATACATTTTACTTTAGCTGAAAGAACGGTACTTGTGCATCTTAATTAATGTGAATCTGGAAATTATTATGATCCTTCTTGGCCCATATAGTACGCACAAGAGACAGCACGGCTCACAACAGCTACAACAAAATAGCTGTTGTACAGGTGGTCCTTGACTTAACAATCATTTGTTTTACAACCATTCAAACTTATGTACTGAAAAAAGTGATTTATGACTGGTCCTCACACTTATGACCATTGCAGAATCCCTAAAGTTACTTGATCAAAATTCAGGGTGCTTTGCAACTGGCTTGTATTTAGAACGGCTGCAATATTGTGGGGTCACATGACCACTATTTACAATCTCTGTTCATTGACAAGCAAAGTCATTGAAGGAAGCCAGATTCACTTAATGACCTCATGATTCGTGTAAAAGACTGTTGTAATATGCTTAACTCTGGAAAAAAGGTTGCAAAATCAGGTGTAACTCACTTAACAATTGCACCGCGTAACATCAGAAGTTGTGGTCCTGATTGTGGTCATAAGTTGAGGACTACCTGTATTGATGACACAGAATTGTGTGTAGACAAAAATCCTGGACATTCATTTTCACAGGGGAAGAACCTGTAGCTCAATGACAGAGTAAGTGCTTTGGCCTAGACATATAAGAGGTGAAACCTAGATATTTAGAGCAAAAAAGGCTTAAGTTTTCAAGAGTTGTTTCCGCCCACCCTGTAAGATTAAGAAAGAACGATATTGTGTTTATGCCTTCCCCTTTCTCGTATGTCCCTCTATGTATGCTGAATTTTTGGGACAACTAGAATGACATCACAATGAATGACATCATGACAGGAGCAAGGCAGAATATGATAAAAATAAAATCTCTATTTCAGCCCAATATTTGGCAGCTGTCCAGGATGCTAAGAAAGATAAAGGATTAGAAAAGGAAAAGTCTTATCTTGCACTTATTTGGGTGTTGTTTCTTGAAAAGCTTGATAAGTAAGACTTTTAAATCCCATCTCTCTCCCTCCCTCCCTCCCTCTCTCTTTCAACAGGAACGGATTTTTCTCACTCTCTCCAACTATATTTTCACAGCAGTGTTCTTGGCTGAAATGACCATAAAGGTAAATAATCCAGCATAATCCAGTTTCTGACCATCAACAATCATCACATTATGTAATTTCACCATCACTGAACTTATCCCATCTACCCACATTGTATATCAGCATGGACATGAATTTTCCCAGATCCATGTAAAGCCCTGTGTGTGATTGAAACTCATAAGCATTCATGAACCATCATCTTTTTTTAACAACCCCATAATCCCTTGCGGGATGGAGTCTGGGCAACTGAATGGAGCTAGCAGAGTGTTTACTGATACCCTTCTAGTCGCCAATGCAGAGTTTTGTTCAGCAGATATATTCTCATTGTGCCCAGAGAGAGAAATATCTGCCTCTACCTAGGATCGAACTCACAGCTGCCTGATTGTGAGGTGAGAGCTCCACCTCTAGGCCACCGCACCACTCCATACTGACTATAAGCATCCATAACTGCTGGACCCATATTCCTAGGGTTAGGTGCTAGACTCATATTTTTACTGGCAAACTGCAGTTTGTTTTAAAATAAGATTAATGACTTCTGTGATTTTAATATTTGCATAGATTGTATATTATTCTGTACAGTGCATATACAAGAATGCGAACAGAGATTCCAATGAGAAAATGTCTTTTCTTTCACTCAAGGCGTATACATTCCTTATTCTTTCCACAATTTAAGCACATGCCTAAACTTAAACTACTGTTAAAGGTGTTGGACATTATGGAAAAAATATCAAACGTATACTCTTTTATAAAGTGCCTCATCATAGTATCGTCAGTTCTACATCCACGCTTACTTTGATACCAACAGGGTACATAATGTTATGGTAGATTTATATAAGAAAATTACTTGCCCAGAGAATTTGAATTATATTATTTCTGGCAGGAAAAGAAAGAGAAGAGAAGAGATGGGAATGGGAATCTCTGCCTCATGTATCCCATCTCTCATTGCAGCTATATTTGAGCTTTAGTTATAGAGGGACTTGGAGATACAGCAGCTATAGCTATTCAATTAAGCCCAAACAATGAGCCCAAGAAAAGTCTGTCTATAAAGAATCACCCAATTTCTGAATTCTGAGTCTGGAGGAGAAACTCTCTCCAAATAAAATAAAACCAATTCTGGATTAAGATTGTAATATCAATTATGTTTTCTTGAGACTGCAAATTTTAATGTCCCCCCCCCCCCCAGTGGTATTTCATTTCCAGAAAGATTTTTTTTAATGGTTTTGGTAACATCTTGTGGGGAGCAGAATATTCATTTCTGATGCAGAGGAATCAGTGAAAGAGGGAGGACTATTGACCGAAGTAGGATGCTAGAGTAGCTAGTTCGTTAAAACTAGTTGCCATATATTTGCTGGGTTTACTCCCTTCTTTCTCCTCCCTCTATGTTTTCTTATAATATCTTTGTAATCACAAAGGCTTTTAATCACAAAGCAACTTGTCGTGGTTGAATTTATGCAGCAAATGCAAGAAAGTGTTTAAAGCTTTAAAAACCTACTAATTTTTAATGGATTAGAATCCATTTCATTCGAAAATGAAGAGCATAAAATGTTATTCTAAATTAGACACGTGTTGGGGAAAGGAGTTGTAAGAAGCAAATTTAGAGGATAATGAAATGTAAAAACTAAAGTCTGTGGCATTCGTAATAGACTACCACCATCCGTAGCATATACTTATAAATACTGAATTCAGATTCTCGGCAACATTTTAGTACGGTGCATGCATTTTATGAACATTATGCTTATTTCAGGGCTTATTTTCAGTATCTCAGTTTTTATGTACTATGTTCTCTTTGAGAAACTTCCCATTTAAACTTAGCTTGCTTAAGATAAGACCAGAGGGTTACATTTTCTAAAGTGCTTTGTTCATATTTTTTTAATTCCTTGAGAAAATGTAAAAAAAAAAAACAACCCTCATCCTTCTTTCAACAGACTCTAAGGAGAACAAAAAAGTTTTCAGTAAAGAGCGAACATGTATGTGTGTCAGTGTTTGTGTATATACAAAAACAAATGAACTAACAATTTTTTAATGTTTAAGATTTGAGTGTGTTTGTGACCTCTGTATTCTGAAGTTTCACATCTAGGATAATATATGGTCATTACATCCTTAGTGCTTCCCTCTGTAGTTACTGACAAAAATAATCATATATGCCACTCTTTTACGAAATTGCCACACTTTATGGTAGATATGGCAGTTAGGTTTTGAATTGCATTAAAAATACCTCAGTGTTAAAGGAACAATCTGGAATGTTTCTGCAGAGTTATTTTTATGAACCTTACACCATAACACTTTGTAGAACCTGCTTAGTTATGTTTCTATAACTGGGAAGTCAATGCATTTGCAGTCACGTATGTGTAAATCGTGCATTATAAACTTACTGATGGTGTGGTGACTAAATTAGTCATATTCTGTTGCAATTTGGAATCTTGGCAGGTGGTGGCTCTGGGCTTGTGCTTCGGAGAGAAGGCCTACTTGCAAAGCAGTTGGAATGTGCTGGATGGGGTACTAGTCCTCATCTCTATGGCTGACTTCCTGGTTTCAATGGTTTCTGATAGCGGAACGAAAATCCTTGGAATGCTAAGAGTTTTAAGGCTTTTGCGGACTCTTAGGCCATTAAGGTAAGAAAAAAATCTGCTGGGTGATGCAGAACTGGCATAAATTAGGAGAGGAGAAACTAATGAACTTTGTGATGGATACAAACATAAGGCAAGGACATTTTAACCATGTTTTTTCCCCCAACATATATTAGAGAACATGCCTGAAGGGTTATTCAGTTATTGTTAATCCCCAATATATGTTATCCTAATGTCTTTTATATTCTCACATACTTTCTGTCTCTATGGTCCCTTTAAGCCTAATTCACACATCTGCTGGCCTGAAAGAGAAAAAAATGAATGAGCTGAGAGTGCCTAGGTTTTACCCACGGAATCCCCTGCAATCTGAAAATTGCACAACTGAAATGTTGGCAGTTCTCATGTTACGTTGCCAAAAGCAATTTGGTTTTATGAGTTAACAAAGCTTCAGAAGATATATAAGGAGAATGAGAGTCATACATATTTTACAGAATAACAGAGTTGGAAGGGACCTTGGAGGTCTTCTAGTTCAACCCCCTGCTCAAACAGGAGATCCTGTATCATTCCAGAAAAGTGGTTGTTCAATCTCTTCTTAAAAGCCACCAGTGATGAAGCACTTGAGGCAAGTGTCTATGGAGATTTTCAGTCACCCAGGTCATGGTGGTCCCAAAGGTGCTTTTTCAAGAGACAACTGGACTTTCTGATTTTTCTTTGAAGACAGTTTGCTTCTCATCCAAGAAAAGAGCTGAAGAAGCTTATTGGATGAGAAGCAAAACATCTTCAAAGAAAAACCAGAAAGTCCAGTTGCCTCTTGAAAAAGCACCTTTGTGTTCTGACCCAGCTCCGGATTTCCGAGGATATTGACACACACCAACAGTCCTTATCAAATTTATTAAGTAGCAAGAATAAACCAAAGTCCGGCAAAGGTTAGCAACCAGCCCAGAAAACAAGATATGATAAGACTTTTCCAAAAATCTTCTGATGATTATTACAAGTTGTTTCTAGCAACTAACGGTGTGTGACTTAAATAGGCTAAGGGAGTGGCCAATTATTCTCAAGCCTTACTCTCAAGGAGACTTCCTCCTCCTGAGTAGCCACTCCTGCCTTTTGGCAGCCCTGCGTGCTCGAGCATTGAGAAGAGGCTCCTCCACTTCGCTCTCTCCACTTGAAGGAGCCTCTGGAGGTTCTGAAGGCCCTGGCTGAGTCTCTGCCTCTGGCACCACATCCTCTTCAGCCTCTTCGCTGTCCGATGCAAGCGCCGGCTGCGCAGGCTGCTGGCGTGACACCACACCAGCCTCCTTGTCGTTGGGATCAGCCACTATCCGCGCAGGTCGCTGGTGGGCCACAACACTTTGGGACTTCGGAAGGCAAGCTGTTCCACTGGTTAACTGTTTTCACTGTCAGGAAATTTCTCCTTACTTCTGGGTTGCTTCTCTCCTTGATTAATTTCCTTTAAAGGCTTGAGCAGGATTGGCCTGAGACCCAATTCATATAGGCAGCAACTCACAGTCGAAGTTAAATATATGAGCTTTGTAGTTTTCTGCAATAAACTATTTGCAGTAGTAATTTTCCACATAGTTCCAGCTGATTTTTGAAATGGCAACCCAGGTGCAGCGGTGGGTTGCTTCTGGTTTGCCCCAGGTCGGGTGAACTGGTAGCGGCAGCAGTGGTGGGAGGCTCCGCCCACCCACCCGGATGCTTCTGCGCATGTGCAAAAGCATCACGCACAAGCACGCGCGTGCCCACAAGCGAACTGGTAGCGACGGGTTTAGAAACCCGTCCCTGCCCAGGTGCTGTTGTCCAGATCAAGGAGTCACTGATTGAATAGCTGCTAGCTGGAGATTTAGGAGCATCTATCCACATCTTAACACTGCCCATGTCTATTGCTTCGTATAAAAAGTATGCCTAGATCAGGAAAAAGTTTCATTCAAGAGAAACTTTGATTGGAACAAAGTGTCTTCTCCAGAACATCTTATCCCCAGATAGCCAATCATCCTTCACTTTTACTGGACTTTCGAACGGCTGTAAAGATTGGAAATTTTAGCAAGGCATTTAGAGATGCAGAGACTAGCTTACCCCATGGGTGGCCTTTCATGGTTGGTCCTTAATACATGGGACGATTTTAACTCCTTCTGTTGATATTCTGTAAGCTGCTCAGAACCTGTGGGAATTTAGTGACGTAGAAGCCTAAAGAAGGAAAGAACTAAATACAGAATACGTGATCATTATAGAACAGTGTTAATGTATTACTGCAAATACTTGTATTACATTTTTTTTTAGAATTTTCTTGCAGAGGGGTTTAAAGCAGCTGCCATCAGAAAGAGTGTAACAGCAATCCACATCATTAAAATCATAAAATATGCAATGCAATTATTACTTTGAACAGCATAAGGGGAAAAGGTTTAAAAGAAAATCTCCATTTGCCATCAGTTACACAAATGGCCTGAAAAACATGACTTTTTCTATATATAAATATGAATTTTATCAGCAACAGTCCTAATGGGGGACTATTTAAACTACTTGAATTGCATATATTGGTTTATGCAAGTTTATTGTTAAATAAACTTGCATAATTTAACGATATGACTCACGATGACTATAAATGTAAATCTAGTTCTGATTTTATAAGAGGTACAGTTTTATGGAACTTTTTTCTATCTCCTTCTGTCATATTTTCCTTTCTTTCTGCACATAGTTTTTAAGAAAAACTCAACGATTTAAGTACCAGTAAGGTCCAAAGCTGTCTATAAGGGTAAAAGAACAGGTAACTGAAATGAACACAGACAAATTCATGATTGCAAATTGTTGTTCAGATCTTTCAGAAAGAATATTGGTTGCAATCTGAAAGATGCACAGGGGAGAGAGAGAGAGAGTTATTTTTCCTCTTTCTCAGGAGCATTTTTTCCATAGCAGTGAGCCTAGTGGGGACATTAACTATTAGTGGCCATAGCATTTTGGAAAGCACTATGTTTCTATAGGCTCCCTGTATTGCAATATTTCCTGCAAAACCATCCTTTTGGCAGCAGTTGCAATGCTTGGTAAGCTACCTCCACACACATAACCATCCCTGTCAAGAAATGCCCTCTCTGTTGCTGTCAGTCTTGCCAGGTAGTCCATAGAGGAAGCATGACTAGATGGACTAATTCTGCTTTCATTATATAGGGTTACATTAACAGAATGTTGCAAGTCTGAAAATACAGTTCTTATGAATTCATCAAAGCCTGGCACTTCACAAGCAATTCCATCAACAGACACGTTGACTACAACCAGCCTACGAACCCCTCAGAATCCAAATCAACCACACAGCCAACTAGAGACAGCACCGACCCTCAACCAAGCCACACAACACCCCCCCCACCAGCAGTTCACCTCCCAATGACCCTGACCTGATGTAACCTCCTTATCACAAGACCCATCACAAGGCTCACTGATGATTCACAGCTGAACCATCACAAGACCCTCACTTGACACACCCACACCTGAAGCCCCTTATAAACAGAAGAACATTGACACTCACAGCCCCTAAACTCTGCTGAAGGTGTTACCTAACCTGGTAATGAAACGTTCAGAAACCAAACTACAAGCTCAGAGAATGAACCTTCACCCTCATCCTATACCTGATATTTGCCACTATTGCAAAAATACAGCTCTTCCGCCATCACCTTTACTGCCCAAGAAACTAAGGAGGGCCATGTTTATGCTGCTTCTATTGGCTCAGTTGCCTCTTATCCAACTGTTTCCCTGACTATGCCTCTTCCCCGTGTTTCCCAAGATCATTCCCACAAACCATTATAGCTGCTATTCTACAAGATTGCCTAGTTTTCCTGGCCGTTAGTTGTCTTTCACTGTCCCAGAAGATTTATTTTTTCTTCCTAGCCTTTTCCCACCAGTGCAGGGTCTGGGGTTTTTTCCCCACATCAATTGAGTGTTGATCCATTGGTTGCAAAGGAATTGACTGACTGGCTTGTTGCTCATCCAAGCCTGAAGCTGTTGGCTGAGCTAGTGACTGGCTCAGTCACCCAGCTGGCTTTCAGGCCTAAGGCAGAACTAGAACTCACAGTCTCTTGATTTCTAGATTGTCTTAAACACTAGACCAAACTGGCTCTCCCATTGTTCCAGAAGAATGCCATGGATATTTTCCTACCTAGGTCAGTGTAAGATTATAGGTACAATCAGATACAAAGTACAGGTTTTGCTCCAGTCTTCCAATTCTTTTCTCTTAACAATCCCAAAGTATAAAATGGCATATTCGTAATTTGTTTTAACTAATCTCTATGCCATATTATCCAAATGAATCCCTTTTTCTAGAGATTTACAATAACAGAAAAGGAGACAAAGGAGGAAAAACCTTGAATATTTAAGTATAGATTCCATAAAGATGAAATGGGTTTTCAGCCAAAGTTTTCATCCATGATGTTATTCCTTTTTTAATTGATAAAAGCTTATGGTTGAGCAGAGCAGGGTTATGTGAAATATAGGAACAATACTCTCATTTCTACTTTTCCTCTTATCCAGAGAAAAAGTTTCTTTTTAATTATTATTTTAAAAAAATATTATTTTATTAATTTTAAAAGTAAAAATGGACACTGCTCAACGTCTCTGGTTTCTAACATTACGTCAATATGACGTAGGAGATATGTAAATTTGTATATAAAGCAAGGAATAGATTACTTATTAACTTGATTTTGACAGAGAAAAAGTTTTTGAGGATAAATCACTTATCTAGGCTGCCCTTATGACATACTTTATTCTGGAGACATAAGAGTTGATGAGGGTTTTCGTTATTACGGCTTGTGGTATATGACACCACTCTGAAAAGTCCTTTAAGAAGAAGAGAAGGGAAGGATAACAACTATTTATCAAAAACTCCCTGATGTATAGTAGTATTTGTAGATCCCTTGTATGTATTAATTGATCACAATCGAAGTATTTCTACCTAAAGCATCCAAACCACAGTGTCTGAGATCATCTGCAAGACAAATTTATGTAGAATAATTTTGGTAAGTTGAGTCCCCTGACTTTGGCTTATGTATGAATTATTCAGC